AAAAGATGGTAATATTATAACCAAAGTAAGTTAAGTCAATCTAATAAACTCTCGTTTGGCTATTAAAATAATGTTAATCGCATTTAATCGGTGTCCTAAATGTTGAGCTACTCGCGCGCCTGAAAATTTCAACGAATTTTTCGCTGGCGAAATGTCTATTTTATCTACGTTGTACATGTCTGTGACACCCTGTATACGAGGAAGACAATTTGATTTCTTCGTCGTTTTCGGGCGCGCGTGCGTGCAAGGCAGGCCGAAATCCGACGCGCGAACTCGAGAAATGGGAGCATCTGAAGGTACGGTCCTCGCTATAGCCGGGGTTATATTTTCAAGCTTGCGGCAGATCTCTCACCGATTTCGCAATATACAGCCGCGGGAGTTTTCCCCCCGGTGAGATATAGCGCCCCGTGAAATTGCTCGCGAGCGGCCCGATGACGTATTGCGCGACGACGAACACACCGGGTATATACGCGGAGAGTTTCTGCAATATGAGCGGACTACGAAACGCGCTACGGTATACGAATTCGACGATACACGGGAAAACTACTTGCGCCCTGACCCCCTTTCCACCATGGTTTAATCGACGCTCTTCCCACGACCCTCCAGAGATATAGCATTTACTTTGGCAACTAAAAATAACAAGAAGATGGTATGGTTTCCTTGCGTTACACAAGATGTTTCACGAGAAAGAGAAACTATCTTCTCTTAATATCAGATTTATCTCGGCGAAATTGTTTCGAAGAAATTCAATCTTTTTAAAGAATTCGAAAAATTTGCAAGAAACTGCCAAAAGTGGAAACTATGCCACTTTTTCAGCAAATATCGCTTTCATGAAATTGTAACTTGAGATACTCACCTTGTTCTTCTGTGTTCCTCCGTGCAATTTCTCTCTCAAAATTAATAATTAACCCAAAATATCCAAAATATCGAGGGATTACCCCTCGTTGCGTGGACGAATTTAGCGGCTTCCACTCGGTACACCCTGTAGATAACTCATCTTTATCCGTGTCAGTCTTATCGATCTCGGCAAGATGCCGCATTATTACGCACACGCTTCCTGGCTGAGCCGGCAACGAGACACAATTACGTCGCGTTCGCTTTAGGGCGCAGTTTGAATCGCTTTTAATGCGCGCTCTCTAATTGGCCGCAGGTGCGCACCTGAGCAAGTCCCCGAAGAGGAACCACGTTGAAAACGTGCAATGCCAGCGCGCTTGTAAGTACAGAAGCCGGCCAACGTAGCGTTTACGAAATGATGGCCATTTCGCAGCAACAGCTACTCGTTCTTATTAGCGCGTGTAACAAGCATGAGGAGCGATTTGTGAAACAAAGTGACACATTCGGCTCTCCGGCAGATAATACGTCTCGCAAACATTCAAATAACCGTCGATTGACGTCAAGTGTCACGCGCCCTATAATTAGACAAAAACGAAGGCGACAAGCAGCGTTGCATTTTTTTTTTTAATTTCGACATGTTTATTGTTTTTCGCGGAGCAAAGCGCGCGAGAATCAGCGATCGTTTACTCATGACCGATTACTCGGTCGCGCAATTACCCACCGCGAAATTACAACAGTCAGATCGCGAAGTTACGGCTGTGGAGTCGCATCGAGACACCCCGTTAACGCTCAGACCGACCGACCCGCCGACCAGCCGCCAGTTGGCTGGCCGGTGTGCGGTGTTTGCACGAGGTCGTTTTCCGTCTCGCGTGTAATCCGGTCCTTTGTAGGTTGGCCCTGGCGCTCCGCTTCGCTTGATTATTAATTATTATTGGAAGGCAAATGTAGCGTGACCGTTGCGCGCGGCAGCGATCGATAATTCATGCACGACGAGCCGCGCTGCGCCGCGTCGCGTCGCGTTGCGCTCCCGAAGAGAATTAATTCGGGCATGCGACTCTTTGGACGCGACTCGCCTTTACCATCGACTGTCACGCTTGTCGATTTTCCTCTCTGAAGCTCCCTTGTATTTATAAACTTTTCGCCATTAGAAGCATTCGTCGCGCGTCCTCGAGCGACCGTCGGGAGCGACGCGGGCGGCCGCAAAACTTCCCCCGAAGGATATCGACGTCGCCAACGAGTGCTCGCGCTCCCGTCCAACAGGACGGGACGAGGAAAACTTCGTAATTTCGGACGTGCTCCAGTTTACCCGTCCGACGACTTCTCCGTCGAGCTATCGCGATCTTCCGAGGACGCGCTTACGGTTCCGCGAATTCTTACGCGCCCGGATGAAAAGTTTCGCGGTGTGCTCGATCGGCTATTAGCGGACGAAATGTTTCGCTGAGGTGAACGGTTCCGCGGCTGCTTCCTTGTTGAGCTGTTGTTCTCTGTGTGTCGACTAACGTCTCGTAATTTTACAGAAAAACCTTGCCTAGATATTTAAGGCTTTTGAGTCCACTTTAATGCTTCAGTGACAGAATGCAGAAATATCTCAGGAGTTTCAAATAAATTCTCACAAAAATATGTCGTAACAATATATTTTTTGCTACATATGCGTAATAATACGCTTTGATCATTTCATATAATTGCATAATATTTTCATTGTTGCACACATTTTTCAATTATATGCTGCTATATTCAAACAGCAGCAAGATTTCTTAGCTCTGAAATGTCACGTCTCATTTATGCCATGACCCAAACTAGACATTACGTGAAGTTTTCACACGATTTTCTCAGCATAATAAACAACCGTTGAACTTCTTCGGAATGTAAGAGATAATAAAATTTCGCTAGCATCGTAGACTACATTAGAGACGAGGGACCCAAAGAATCGCTCGAAGGTCATCCTCTTCGCAGGTCTCCGATAAATCGCGAGGTTAGTAATCTCCGCGGCGCATTTTCCCATGTTTTCCCGTGGAACACGTGCGCCCAAAGGACGAGGGGAGGCTACGACGACGAAACGGGACGGGCGGGAAGACTCGGCGAGTTGAAGTTATCGTTTTCATAACTCTTAGCGCTCGAAGAGGGTGGAGATCGGTCGATGAAAATATGCCGCTGTTACGGGAGGATTAACGTGGATTAGCCGGGGAGATTTAGAGTCATCTGGGTCTGGGACGCTCGCTAAATGTCTAATCCGGAAATATGGTTGTCTTCGCTCAGGATTCGCCGGGAGGACGGACGCGCGAACGACGAAATTCTCGGCAGCGACGGCGGATAATCCGCGGCCTGCACTAAATTTCACTTTGCAACGTTATCTCGCATTACGAAAACAGATTGCGGCACGCGCGGTGGTGGTTTGCTCTTTTGATCCGGTGTGCACCGCAGCAAAACGAAAGAAACCCGACGTAATGACGTTTTCAACGAGCCAACGCTGTCGGTTTTACCGCGGTATGACTCCACGCGGTTATTTGGAGGGTAGATGCGAGCGTATTCGAATATGTGTGTGTGTGTGCGCATCGTACGGCTTTTCCAGGCATTTTAGAGAAAAAAAAATATCTAAATTATCTTCAATTATCCTCTCTCTAACTAATCTCTTTAGCGCTTCTTTATTTAACGCGAATGTGGAGGATCGAGTTGTGAACGTGAGAGAGAGAGGAAAATTTTTCGGCAAATTTTCATTTTTAATTATTTCGAGAATAGCAGATATAAAACTGTAATCTACGTCGCGCTACTCCAGTGCTGCATAATACAGCCGCCTATTATCGTCAGTTTAGTGGTGCATATCGTAGCATATGTTTTGCAACGTGACAAGAACGTTTATACTTCTTGGTAAGCGAGAGAAGCAGTAATTGTGTTGTTACTTTGCACGCTAATGGTAGAGTTCTTTGATGCAAAACAGCATCTCGCTCGCAAAGGTCGGATGTCGTAAAAAGCATGCAGAATTATTATTAACGTAATAAAGAGGAACTAAATATCTTAAAGAAAAGAAGCTAACAAAGCAGCGCGAGATAACAAATTGTCGTTCTCGCGGTGTGACCGGATTTTCTCGTTAAAGAAATATGAATTTCTCTCTTTTTTTTTTTAGTGTATTGAAATTACAAATTTTCGGGTACTCTATTACGGGGTGTCTCCTATGTCGCACGGATCGCCTAAAAGGACATAAAGGACGCGGTTCGCTGTATCTGATATCCTAACCGGTTGTGTGTGATTCAGGTATGTGGAAACACAACGAACGATATAATTCCGCTACACCGCTTCACCATTAGTTTACGATCCCCGTGGGCACACGAAGGGTTGGGCGCGATGTTTATGGGACCCTGTAACGAGGAGCCACGTAACATGGCAGCCGCTGCTCCAGGACCGTGGGCAGAAAGTTATAATTGCTGTATGTTAACCGACAGTCGCGGTGACGGGGACGGTGCCGTGTTTTTACGGCGCGCCCGTTGCGTTTTTATTCTTCACGTACGTCGCAAAAGTGTGAGTTCAGTGTTTCTTCTTTCTCTTTTCTTTTGTGGTAATCGCCCCTAGATCTCTTGCAGCTTTGTGCTTTTCAGCCAGGGAGAGCTTCGCGTTTTTAACTCTCTCCGGGTTCGATCTAAGAGTATGCAGTATTTTTATGTGTCCTCTCTCTCTGAAATTACGCAAGAAATTCAGGTTTTTAAAGAAGTATGTTTTGCAAGCAGGGAGGATCTCTCTCGGAAAAAAAAGGTACGAGCACTTTTAGTAATAGCAAAAATATATTTCATAAAATTATAGTACTATACAGTCGGCCATGACTCGCGTTCACTTTTATAATATCGTTTTTTTGGTCGTTCGGAAACTAGGCTTAGGATTCTCGTAAATCACCAATGCCGGGCTCACCGCAAGGCTTAATGAGTCGCCGTATCGACGTGGTTTTCCTCTCGCTTTACTCTTCTCGCGTCCTCCGCGGTTTCCTCCGACTCGGACCAGAGAGGAGAGCTTTTCCAACTACTCCCCGAAGACTATAGATTATTGCAACTTCTGACGCGCTAGGGATAGAATTAAAAACTTCGGCCGCCGACGTCGAGAGTTACTTGCGGCTGACGGATAAGGATTTAATTGAGGGGGGAGGACTCCGCGTGGGGAAGTTTTAATGAATATACGCGGCGCACCGTTACATTAGCGTTTTATTGCTCATATTGTCGTTTTTCGCCATTTCGACGTGGTACTGCTGCAAACGCCGTAACCACATCGTCCAGTATTCCTGCAGCGTGTCGTCACACATCTCGTGCACCGTTGCTGGGTCGCCGCACGTGTAAGCAACCACGATTAATCCGCGTTTTATCTGAGGAATCAAGAAATACAGTCAATCTGTGGATAAATGTGACACGGAGCTAACGCGATTCACCGTGATTTTTTCTACGAGAAGATATCACGATATCGCGTTTATTCTCACTGACTTTACTATTCAATCAATTTCTATTAAGCCCATAATATTTGGCAAAAAGTTATGACAAGTTAGTTTGCTCTTGTATAAAATTCGGAATGTTTTAACCTGAAATATTGAAACTCGCGGATTATCGAAATTGAAGTTTGAAAAAAAGCCTTCCATGTGGGATTGGGGAAATTCTATATTTTCGATTCAGAATTTCTATTTTATATTTTTCTTTCGGAGAAACATTTACCACGAATGGATATAAATTGGAAGCATTGATTGCTCCGATATATGCGGCGACTTGTACAGGCGCGTCATACGTTCCTTTCAAATCCAATTTCTTCTTGTCCGACTTCTTCCAATCGATTACGTAGTTCTCGCCCCTGCGGATTTAATACGTGTGACAGCATACTAAACCTGTACAGGGTGATTTTGAACTCAACTCGAGAGAGGAGTTCGTGGATAGAAGTCGATATAACTCAAAATCACCCTGCGCAGTAAGCGTTTATACGCGTCTTTTAAATAATTGGTAATTTTTTATTGCGCAGCTATTAAACAAAATAAAGCACCACAAACAATCACGAATAAACAATTCTAATAAACAATTAGCAATTTTTTTTATTAAAGTTTCATAACGCAAATCTCGAATTGTCAAAATTACGAATAAAGTCGTTATTGCAAATAACTACAAACAAAATAGCATTTTTTATCTTAAAAATTTGTTCAAAGCTAAGTGTCAAGTTCATAGCTGCGGTGACCTCTGTTGGCTGTATTCCGTTTAGGAATAGAGTTTGCCTTGTGATGGCAAAGTGAACTCTGTTTTACCTGTAGGAAGCTATACAGTCTACTATGCCCTTGTAGCGTAATTTCGTGTGAGTCACATGTGCCTCGATCCCTTTCACGTGGCATACGTTTTTCAGGACGCTCTGCACGCTCTTGAAAACCGGCTCGATCCTAGGGGGAATCTCGTATTCTTCCCCCAGCAAGCTGTGCGCTATGCACGTGTGTAGAGATGTTCCGTCGTTCAACAGCGCTGCATATTAAGAGCGAATAGATTTATTTTCTGAACTCGTTGGAATCGCGCGAAATAACTCGTCGTAGTACCTTTCTGATACTTGTCGAAGCCTTCTTGCCCAAGTTTTTTTATCATTTTTTTCTTCCACGCCTCCAAAATCAGCTTCGACTCCGGTGACATGGTATGCGTTAGAATCGCACTCACACTGGGAACTTTGATCATACTCTCGTCCTTCTTTGCGGATGCTGATAACGCTTCCGTTAATTCTGCCGAAGATTCTCGTTTGTTGCCCAAAATTGAAAAAGATTGTATATTCTTTATGATAATGTCGAAATGTTTTTCAAGTGCACTGGACTTTGTAGCTACATTTTCAATATCAGTCGCGTTTGAGTCGGGCAATGATGTGTTACCATGGGAATTGTTATTCTCTACGGGTTTACTTTGGCTCGTAGTGTTAGCTGTTATTTTCTGCGTATGTTGACTAAATTCTGAATGACGAGTATTTTTGGTATTTTTATTAAATAGTTTTTCGTCTTCTAACGTCGCCGTGCTCAAATTTTTCGGAGAGTTTGTCGAATTTGTTCGACTTGTATCTTCATGTTCGCTTGATTGTTTCGTAGATACAAGTGTCATTTTTTTTAGACTATTCTTTTGAGGATTATTAAGCGATTGTTTCATGACCCACGAAAATTCTGTATCTATATTGTTTTGTTTCTCTCGAGGGATCTTCCCTCGTTTTTCTAATTTTAATCTCCTTTTCTTTTGGCTATTTGTTTCGAGCAAATTACCAAATACCTCTTTCATTTCAGTCATTAATTTTTTTATTTTGTTCGCCTTCGAGAGGTGCCTGACAGATGTTTGACATATATTTGATATTTCGGAAGACCTCGTACGTAAGAAACAATTAGAAATTCTCAACGAAATCATGACTTTGTTGATTGATATATGTTTTATTATTCGTCCTATACTTGGCTACAACTCTGCGAATAAACAATTAAATACGGCATGAGCATGCAACATATAATTAACAAAATATTCTGTTTTTAATTAACATATTGACAGATACCGATAATCAATGATATGAAATAATTAAATTTTGTAAATAATTGTAAGAATTATAATCTTTCATTGAAGAGCATTTTATTAAAATGCCGTCTAATTGTCGAGGACACGAGGACCTGTCAAATATAAACAAGCTTACCGGAAAAAAACACTAGTAGAGGTTATGTATTTTACGATCATAAGCACGTATAAAAACAACTGCATTATTGCAAGATGACGACATATATTTCGATCATGGATATCGTGCAGAATTATTTGATATTTGAAATTGTAAAACAAACGAGGCTTCTTGTAGCCGATTATGGTATAAAGAAAGAAAATAACATACGTAAAGGTTATATTCCCATCGTGTGCCGCACATCACACTAAAACTGCTAGGTGTAGCTGAAACGAACAGATGCTAACCAACCATAAATAACATCTCATCGCCATCTATGAATTTCATCTTGCACTACTGTTTGTATAGTTATCGACATTCATGCGCTCTGTTGCTGAGGCAGTTTGCACTACATGACATGTTTCTGTACTTGAAGCGGAATAAACATATTTGCGATCAGACGAAAGAAGAGGAGATAGACGAGCAGCACATATCGCTGCTAAAATTTTTGATATTACGATCAATATACTAACAAATTAACATTGTACAAATGACTAACGTGTTTTCTCATTTACGCGATTGATAGCGTGATACAATCGTTGTACTTTGTGGAGAAACAGAAGAAATTGACGAATCGTGTATATCATGACGTTCCTTCACGAAAAAAAGGCCAGTGTGTTTGACGAAATTTCTTTGTGATATTTAAGAAATGCATCCACTCCGTTTTGCACAATTAATGCGATTCGACAGTGCTTGATTTCGTGGAGAAGAAAGAGAAAGAAGAGAGCGTGTAGAAAATACCTCCTCGCGAATGCGAACAAACTGGACAGCATGAACGCATGACTGATTGTAAAAGTCTGACAGCGTTTCGCGCTATCCGATATCCACGATTTTCCGTGCACGGTTGGTCAAGCGGGGTGTGCCCGGCGCAACCCCCTCATTGCACTTGGTTTGCATAATAGCCGGCGGCGTGCGACCTTTGATGCGATACACCTTTCTCTCCTCCTCCGCAGAAAATTAGCAGTATGACGTGCTTTATTGTATGACGTGCGTCGATACCATTAGGCGTATCACGCGCGCTGACGTAAGTCCGCTTCGCCAGCAAGGCCCTTTCGAAGGCTCGAGGGCCCCTGCCGTTCAGTGTTCCCAGACGGACCGCGTTCGGCCGTGTTTTGCATCTCCCGCCGACTTTCCCATGATTAACGAGTCCTTTAAGGATTTTTTTCTAATTTAATAACGGCCTGTTGTCGAATCGGGCTCACAGTTCAGTCCGTTTGTAAAACAGCGATTATGCCAAGTAACGGGAAGATAACGCTTGCGCCACAAACATTGGCGGTGATAAACGACTTCACGCTTAGCAATTAACTCTTCATTTTATCGTTTCACATCTAGTTCCGGAAAGAGACCTCTTTTCATATATCTCAGTATTTTTATTGAGAGAGGTGAATAAATGAAAGATTATTTTTACGTGTACATTCAATGGAGAATTCACTTAACATTGTAATCACATTTTCTTGGGGGGAGCGAAGATTCCTTGGCGGTAAGTTTCTCCAAAGTTTCGTCTGTGCGGCGTCTAAAATTACTGTGTTATCTTTATTGGCAATTTCCTCGATGAATTTGAGGAGAGCAAAGATCCACGCTAAATCTCTCCCTCATTTTTCTTTCGTTTTCGCTCCTTTTCCCGTTTCGCCACTCGCGAGACATACGATAGGTTGCAACAGAGAGGAAGTGAGGGAGGCGAGAACCGGGCGGAAAAATGTTTGCGCGTTTTTACGTAACGCTGCAACCGAAAACCGTCGTCTTGAAGCCGCCGTGCGACAGTGAAAGTTTCGTCGTGGATGAAATTTAAGATACGCGCGGAAAATGCGATACGGCATGTCGCCATGTCGCGTATCGGTGCATTTAGTCGAATGGATAGGTCGCGTATTTAAATCAAGAAGATTCTCGTGTGCACACAATGGATGCACATCGGAAGTATGTATCATGTGATTATTTCTCTCTCATATACACACAGATTAAGTTGCATCGAATAATTTTAAGCCAAAGCCGATCAACTTGTACACCGAGAGAAAAAATATCTAGAAAATAAAAAAAAATATTTATTTGGTGGGCACTAATAACATATTTACGTAAATTTAAATTCTTTTATTTAAATAGAATTAACAATTGTTTTTTCACAAGAAGTTAAGATTTTAAAAGAAAATGTATATTTTCTTATTTAAGAAATATTTTATATTAGCATAAGCAAATATTTTATTAGTATTACACACCGAATAAATATTTTTTTATTTCTCAGATATTTTTCTCTCATACAGTGTAGTATATACTCGTATCTCGACCGTGCGAACTTGCCTTCATATTATAAAGAAGCGAATTGTAATAAAGATTTAACTTAATCCGATCTGATTCGTTATCTCCCTCGGCCTCGATCCTCCCTCGAGCGATCAGTCGATCGACTTTTAATTCCCACTGACGTAAATGGCGTCGATGCCGATCGCGCGCATGGTCTCGTAACAACAAATTTTCGTGACGAGTGCGCCAGAAAAATCGCTTTAGAAAGGCATATTAGAGCCACGCGCCGCACGTAACGTTTTCTTACCTATCCACTATCGCCCCGCTAACTGCTCCTCTAACTGCCCCCTTCCCCGCTGAAGTCTCTATTCGTGCGTGTGCGTGTGGGTGCGGGAGCGACTCGTGGGTGTGCGATACATATACACACGCGTGTAACTCTTTTCGTCGAGATGCAATGCTGTGAGAAAAGACTCCACCGGGTATAAAAGGGGGTGTGTCTCGTACGGTCTGCACCAGTTTCAGTAGTGATCTCTGTATCGCCGCAGTATCGTCGTCATCATGAATGCTCTAGTAAGTAATTAAAATCCTTTTCCGAACGTTCGGGGTCTGAATGGCGTTATGCTTCGACATAAAGTCTCGCGCAAACTTGGAAAATCGGGTTAACATATAACAATCAGCTCGAAATTGGATGAGATTAAATCGGACTCTCTTTTGGGATCTCTTCGTTAAAGTAAATGGCTGAGAACTGCAAATGGGTCGGATCGATCGCGCCACGTTTAATTGTTAACAAACCGCTGCTAATCATTGCTTTTGCAATAGCATTCGCGGAGAACTAGATCGCGCCTTTTAGTCAGAAGTATATTTTCATTATGATTCGTCGTCCCACTGTTTATTAAATAGACCACTCATATAGTGTTTTATATGCTGTTTTTGTACTTATCATCGTAATGACAAAACATAAGTTTGCAGCAAAACCGTACGAAACAACACGTTTCTTTGTTGTAGCTCCTGCTGACCGTTCTCTGTGTGGCATTGCCTATTTATGCCGAAGACACGCAGGTAACCAAAAAGCAAGACAAACGAGGTGCCCTTGGTCTAGGATATGGAGCACTTGGACATGGAGGAATAGGCTTTCACGGCAATCTAGGTGGAGCGGGTTATGGAGGTATTTGTATAAGAAAGAAAAAGAAAGGAAAAGAAAAGAAATTAATTGATTCTTGCTATTCATGTTTTTGGTGGGCGGATATACTTCTGTAACAGTTTTGCGTTACACTTTCGTTATTGTTCGCATACAAAATTGATTATTTCCGCTACAAAATAGTGAACAATTATAATAGACATGCGCACCCGTAGTCCATTTTTGCATTTTGGTATTTCATAGTACTTTAAGGGTTAGTATTTTTGCGATCGCAGAGGATGCAGAAACATTTTTGACTAATCTTTAGATTTTGGAAATTCAATTGGACCATGTTTAAAGAAACAAATGTTCTATTTGTATTCGTATATCGAAATATAAATTCGTAAATCTCTAACTTTTTATAGTTCTTATAATATTATGATAATAAACTGTCATTAACGACAAATATTCTTTTATAATGTAGTAATCGCTGGGAGAGTGAAATCACGTGTGCAATAGTGGTTTTTGAAACATTAAGATTACACTGTCTGAAAATCAGATTATCATCTGTCTAAAAATTCTCCATCGATTTGCAATAGATAAAAAAGTTTCACCTCAAGCTTGGATTTTTCATGTGTCTGAGTCTCACATTTGGCGACGTGATGAATTTCGATCGAACTGCATTATTCGCGTACGAGTTCGTCGAAAAATATATCTCTATCAAAGGTCATGCGACAAACACCCCCTTTAATTTCAGGACACGGTTACCTCGGTACTGCTGCGACCTATTCTCTGGGTCATGGTGCCGCTGCCGCGCCTGCTTATTCCCACAGTTATAGCGCCCCGGTGGCCTCTCATGGCTATAACGCACCTTTATACACGTCCTATCGTCTTGGTGCCTTTGGACACGGTGCGGGCTATGGTGCAGGGCTCGGATACGGTGCGGGACATGGCGCGGGAGCCGCGTACGGTGTGGGACACGGTGCGGGAGTTGCGTACGGCGTGGGACATGGTGCGGGAGTCGCGTACGGCGCGGGATACGGTGCGGGACACGGTGCGCGACTCGCAGCTGGTTTCGGCGGTGGTTACGGCCACGGCTGGTGAAATGAAAACGCGAATGGTAAATTGACGTTGTGAAACGTCAATGCGATTCTCCTCGGTTTTCCTCGTCGACTCTGCCCCCTTTGTCAAAATATTCGTCTTCTTTTCTAAGCTTTGTATTTCTTGCGATTTCTAAATAAATCTTGTATTTTTTAATAAGCAGTGTGGTTCTTTCCTTAGGCAAATAGGCAAAATTCGATAGACTGTAACTTTCGCAAAAATAATGATGATGGGACGATTTGTGAAGTATTTTGTAGCTTGTAGTCTTTAATTTTTAGATATATCATCCGACACAAAATTTAATTATTTTTTACAGTACTTTTTTATATGATAAAACTATACGAATATATATTGAGATCTGACACAAATGTTAAAATTTTTTATCAAGTTTGTCGAATTATACTACCGTTTATATTAGCGTTTATATTATTGATCATACGACGTTTATCATTCCAAAGTATGAACTTTCCTGTTTAGTTTGCCCGTATACAAATTGAAGTACGATTTTTTTTCGCAAGATTATTCAATGATTATCAAAGCAAATAACGTTTTTAGTTTTAACCGCTCATAAAAGAAAAATTGTTTGCAAACGAATTGATGTACGACTTGTATTAACAAATGAATAGAAAACAAAGCTCCTTCTATGAAATGCATATTTTACATTTTTTATAAAAAATAAATTTTCAATATAAAATTTTGATTAAATTTTGCATATTTTTTATGAAGAAGAAAAGTGATCCTTTAATTTCTGTTATTTCTCGTAATATTAAAGTCTTTTTAATCTGCTATTGAGTTGTTTTATCTTAAAAGAACAGTCTTCTGTAATATTATGTGCTTACTTTCTCATTAAAGATATAGTGGCGGAGACAATAAACAACACACTACAATTAGAATATAATATCTTATTTTACTAGATTAATATCTTATTTTACTAGGTAAAAAATTAGCTAACAGCATGTGTCGCGCTATCTAACGATGTTCTTCTAGAAACTCGTTGAAGTTAGGTTTGAGTTTATGCTAAATTTGATTCAGATCTCGGCTAAATGACCCTTTACGTTTCTATCTGTGTTCGACGCAGAATTGATGTTTTAATTTTATATATACTCTTATATTATATCATTTTATTATATTTATTAATATCTAAGTCGCTTCCGATTTATGTTTTCTTATATTTTATGTCCTCTTTTTAAATTATGAAAATTGTATTTAAAGGGTCTATATACTCTTGCATAGAAGAGAGTATACTAGTTGTTTTCCAACAAGTCGACACAAACATTATTCTATCTTTGTTCCACATTTAGTGAGTAACAAAGATAGGATGATATTTGTGTCGACTTGTATCTCTTGTTGGAAAGCAACCACTATAAATATTTCAGATAAGAAGAATTTCTATTTGTTAACGACAAATAAGAATATTTAGATTCTAACAATAGAGTTTTTAAATATCAGGTAAATCAATTCTTTAGCAAATAAATAAGAAATCGAAGAAGTATAGAACATCGATTCATCGTCCATACTTAGTTCAGATTCTCGCCACTGAGAGCAACGAATACTGGCGTGACGTTTTACCGACGCCTGCAGCTATATGGGTAGAAAGAGAGAGAGAGAGAGAGAGAGAGAGCGAGAGCAAGCTATTGAGAGTAAAGGAAGAGATGTTCGATAACAATACGTGAGATTAAGTTTCTACCGGAGAAAAATTTGATTATTACATTAATCATGAATTTCCTGGCTAAGAGCGTGATGAACATAGCAAGGACTTGCGTAGCAAGTTCCATTCAAGGTATGGTTATTGCAATAGTACCTATAATAACTAATCTATAACCTAGTCTATAACCTCCAAATTTTTCTAACTTTCTTAATTTATGTTAAATGTAAATACTGATAAATTTTTGCTGCAATTACGTGAAAGTTACATATTTCACTCAATGATGAGGGTTTAGTAGCAATTAACTTAAAATATTGAGAAATTATTTATGTGATACATTAGAAGTATTTTCTTCTAATTATGATAATATAGGACAATATTCTGCAGATGTAACTATTACAGCCATTTGTCTATTTTATGCGTTTATTTCACTATTTTATTCTATTTAATGTATTTTAGGTAGTCAATCAACTTTAACAAAATTCTGCGAGAGAAATTATACTTCAGGTAAATTGTCTTATTAACTAGTGAATATTATTTTTAATAATTTTTTTAAGTAAAGTTGTATTAGAAGCTTGATCCAAAGTTTAATTCTATAGATTATATAATAATGAATTAAAAATTTGTATTTGACAGGAAGCATATTAAGCATGGCGAGAGTATGCATGACTACAGCATTGCAAGGTAAAATTTTTAAGTTTCTGTACAAGTTATAGTAATAGAGGAGGGAGAAGTTTATAATTTTTATTATTCTTAATTGTGTTTTAAACTATTAGGAAAAAGAAATGAAATGAGAATAACTATTTGCGGTAAAAAATGTTTATAGCTTATAATATAAAATATAATTATAAATAATATAAAACATGTTATAGTATAAAACATGTTATAGTAATAAAATGACAGTATAAAAAATGTTATAGTATACAAAGTGACTATGTTATAAGAATAAATATTAGTACACAAACATCTTTATAAACATCTGTAACATCTATAAGTTGAATGAATATTTTGCATGTAGGAGTCTCGAGTAGCAGGATGATATCAAATGATGTATGAATGATGTAATTGAATTAAAGACATCATTAATACGTCATTTGACGTCGTCATGTGCTGAGATAATTTGCTAATTTCATTCATTAAGTTAATGTTGAATTATCTGTTGTGTCATATTTCTTTAAATTCAGGTGGTTTGTAATTACACGACAAACATACATTTAGACGTACGCAAGCAAAGACGTGATAGTTTGATCCATACGGTGGTTGTGTGTAACATGCGAAAATTAAAATTCCAGATAAATCTCTTAGCAATTCAATGATCTGCTTACGCGAAATCGCACAATATGCCAGGTGTATTATTCACGCTTTTGGTGAGTGTAACCGAGCTGCTCCTCTTGAGGATCGTTTGGTAGCGTCTCGAGATTCTAAAGGTGTCTCACGTCAGATACGTATTTACGTTTTTCTTGGGTCCGACTGCAAAAGTGAAGGGAGAAGCTTCGAAAGGAACTAGGTTTCTCATCGTATAGCATTTCTTTCGTTGCGGAAATGCGCACAGCCTTTACCTCTTTCATCCACGCGGACGGAGAGTTCGTTTCGAAGTTCGAAAAGAGATCCATCCGGCCACTTCGCAAGAAAGGGCTCGGGTGGCGTAAAGACGGTGTCCCAGTGTGTGACCAATAGCGAAAATCGCTGGGAATTGAGGGGGTGACGTGTCCATTTGCGGTTGTCCAATTGTCACGGGGTAGGTCAGCCGTATGAGAACGCCGTTCCCCGCGAGAACGCACCCCTTTTCGCTTTTCTTGCGTCCCTCACAAAGGGCGCGAGACACATGAATCGCTCGTGAAAGCGTGCGCAAGCGTGTCGCTTTATCAGAATCGGGAATTTGTTAACTCGTGGAAAATTATCCCCGCTTGTGTCTCGCGTAAATCTCTTGATATCTTTAATCTATTTTTTTACGATAATCATTCAATTTAGATTATGTCACATAGACTTTAGAAAAGAATATACATACATATATAAATATATATTTACGAATAGACACATGTGCAGATGTGCGTAATTTTAGAATTACATAATCTTTTAAATTTTCGTAGCTATTCTCGTAAATTTTTGTAGCTATTCTTGGTCAAAGGATTATAATCGCTCAGCAATATTCGAATTTCCTTAAACGTAACTGAAACCGCAATTAAAAGTTTAATTAGTATAACGCAACGGATATATCGTGCCGATTATCAATTTACTGGGTATCGGATTACAATTAACGTAGGATTGGTAACCACGAGAATACCTTAAACTCGTATTTTTTTCAGCAAGATCGCAATCATAACAAAAATTTCACGGAAAAGCGCGAGAATGCTACAAAAACGTAACAGCGATGACAGAGATTTTCGCAATGTAATCTTGAGCATTGATCTTGGGAGAGAAGGGTTTGCCTTTCATGCATAATAGATTCTCTTACTGATGGTCTCTTTGGTGCTGGGTTAAATCTAGAAGAGTTAGGACGGATTAGTTAGGCTCTAGACATCTGTCGTATTGACCATAGTGGTCAGTCAGTTCTCGAAGTGAACAACAATGGCACAATTTCGTCCCGACGAATGCTGCTCCTTGTCACAGTTCAGGTTGAGGGATGATCGCAGAATTGTCACGTCATGACCGTTTTCGTCTCACTTTTAAAGAACGATCATTTGTAATAAGTATTTCTTTCTACAAACCGTGCCGATCAAAGGCGAACCTCGTATTACGAATCTCCCTAAACGTAGGAGATAGTTATTTTCCTCACTTTTTTCTCTGAGAAGTAGAATCTCGCGTTACGTGTGTCGATGTTATTACTGATAGGAGCTATCGTCTAGATTCACTTATACAAATGATGTGGTGAAATTAATTATATATTTGCCCATTCAATATAAATGCTTTTCGTCATACGCTTCTTACAATATTTTATAATATTTGAGTTATATAATCGCGAGATTAAAACGTGATTTTTTTCCGAAATAATGTGTTATCTGAGAAGCTTTGGAAAGAGGACTCGAAGATGTTACCTCATAATATTCTATAGCACGAGAATCTTTCACCTTCTCAGGATCGTTAGATGATTTGCGAAATAGTTTTCTAAAATAGCTATTTCTTTCTTTCATCTCAATCTTCCTCACTATTCATTTCAATGTGAAGTTTTTGTAAGCTTCTTACCTATAGTCCGAGGAATTTGTCGTCGGACTTCTGAATTTTCTTCAAACGTTCTGTAAGCGTTGCGTCTTCGTGAAATATTTTTCAGTTTTTTTCCTCCTTATTTGAATAGTTAGCGATCTCGATACGATGCTCGATAATTTACGTGGGAGATAAAATGCGTGATCACTCATCTGCCGTTTCTAAATTGCACCAGTGTGGTTGATGATACAAAACAGCGATATATCTGAGAATAACAATTCAAACATCCTGAAAGGATAAAATCCTTAAAGAAAAGAAAATCGATCGTTGATCACTGGATAATTTCCAGTCATTTATGATTTTCGAGTTAATTGTATCGAATCAGAAAGAAAACGTAAAAGAATTAAAGTTTCAAATGAAATAAAAAATGGATGGGATTGTGTGAATGTATACGAAATATATACGTATTTCGATGCATATTAATTCTTATTAGGCTACAGATGATTGTATTATATCTGTGAGCCTTCGCTACCTGAAGTTATTTTTATGACGGATAATCTCTCAATCATTGCCTAAATCTTCACCCATTTCTTACATAAATGTGGAAAGTGATTGTGATAACTTCTGTTAATTCAGGTATAGCACAAATCAGATCACATACCTCATTATCAAGACTTCACAAATATGGCTCATATAAAAAAGTTAGAAAAAATAATAATCCTTTCGGAGCCGGGACGCCATTCATGAAGGGCATAATTTTAAAGAGCATCATTAAGAAACCAAAAAAACCTAATTCCGCAAATCGGAAATGCGTAATCGTGAGGTTAACAAATGGCAAAGAGATGACGGCATATGTGCCAGGTAAGGTTCGCAACTGGCTGCTTGGTAAATGGACAATAGTTGCACTTGTCGAATTATCATTACACGAAGGCAACTCGATGCCGTTTCGTAGGGACTACATAATCTATTTCAGGATTAAATTTTTTTTCAGGAATTGGCCACAATTTGCAAGAACACAACATAGTGCTTTGTAGAGTCGGGCGGCTACAAGATACACCAGGTGTAAAGATTAAATGTGTGCGCGGCAAGTACGACTTGCCTCATGTGATTAAACGCAACTAGTCCGTAGCCCAACTCATTAGCTATTATTACTATTATATCTGATTGTGTCAGAAAATTAATGAAACTTTCTGTAAATAAAAATCGCTGGATACACATCGTTACTATCTGCTGGACTTTTGTTAATCTTGTACACAAACTTTTTAATAAGCGAGAACAATAACTGTTTCCCGAAACTGTGACTGTAGTTCTTTTTATTGGTCCCTTCGGGAATCTCTCATATTTCAAAACTAATAATTTATTATAATTAACAACATTATATAATTAAGCATTTAAGGTGCACATCGTGACAACAGGAAAAGCGAACTCTTCTTCTGCAAGAAATCCAGGAAATCTAATGAGATTTTTTTAACCAACGTTTCAAAGGTATCTTTAAGATCATGGCAATCGACATTTATTTATTTTACATAACAGGATGAAGAAGCGATCGCACGTACCCATTTTCAAGATGGACACGATTTCCGTGGCCGATTGGAGTCCTGCAAATCAGTCGGCCTTTTGACACACTTTCCGAGTACCATGCCGCACCTTAGTTTACCGTTAGCCGAATCAGGCGTCCCTTGGCGCATCGACGGGAATAATGCGGTCCGGTATCGCGAGATGTCACAATGGAAAAAGGGTCGTGACACACAGTCTCCGTTCTCCTCGGTAATATTACGGAAGGGTTGTTCGTCCGGACTTTGCGCATCTGCACCCTGCATCCATCCACCCACGCGGCCACTAGCTATTGACCATATGACATGCTGACCAACATCTTGATATTTTGGAAAGACTGGTTCTCAACCTAAATCCTGGCCTCGATAGAGACAAAGAAAGGTTCTTATATGACGAGCAATTAAAAAATCGTCGCAACAAATGCAATTTAAAATCTCTCTGTGTGAGCTTCTCGACATGTGATCGCTCGATTAGTTTCACAATCATGTTTGCAGAGCTAAGGACAATTTTTCAATCGTAAACGTAACTTATTATTATTTATTAAAATAAGAATTGCTTACGAGTAAATTTATCAACTTGTTCGCTCGCTCTTTTCTTTGATTTTCGTGAAATTAACATTTTTGGTATAGTTAGATATTACGAATTAGATGTATTGAGAACCCGTTATAGATACGCCTACGGTCATTTGAAGGGACGGTGAAACCAATCAGCACGAGGCGTGCGTGCGTCAGTGTGTTTAATTAAACTTTCATAACGTTCGTTTGCTCTGTTTTGCAGAAAGCTGATGTCATGACGATTTTAAGCAACTCTCCGACGTTCGTAATTAATGATTTTACGTAGATGACACAATTTTGTAATAATCAATTCAGTGCAATTTGTTATAAATATTCATTGTGTAAGAAAAGCAAAGCACAATGTGGTTGGGCAGTTGTGCTAACAAGTAAAATCTCTTAAGCATAAAAGAGCAGCGGGACCGTCGCCAACCATCACCGGTACTTTTATAAACGGCACGCACACGGTGTCCGATTACTAAGCCGAATAGTAAAGAGTTGAAGTACCATCGTACGACAGCAGGGAAGAAAGTTTGCTCTCCATTTGTTTGAATTCTTTCGGAATACTAGGAATGTCTGAACATTCGGATATTTTGTATATCTTTTCTTTCTCTTTTCTTTCAATTTCGTTACGCAGGTCGAATTCTCTTGACAGGTAATCCTCTCCGTGTGTTCTGTTACACAAAACAAATCTATATTCTTGAATAGTATTTTTTTTTTATACGCTCGAGTTTTAGAAAAAATTTATTTTATTTTTTCCTTTCTAATTCTCTTTCCTCTTTTTGAGAAAAGTAGTTTAGTTAAACTGAAGCGTATCGAAGTCACTTTAACAACTGTTGCACACTGCCTAATTTTTACTAAATGCTGGCCAAAACAATGATAGTTCTTTCCCGAAGTTTTGAACTATATTAATAAAAAGTCAAACATTTTTTACATATGACATAATTCCTGACATCATTCATTTGTTCCGGAATAATTGGTAACATTAACCTAATATTGTTCTTAACATCGCACATATGCTCGCTGTAACAGCGACAACATACCAAAAAAATCTATAATCGTAGGTTTATGACACAAATATGTAGGTTTATGATAAAAATATGCTTTCGATTTCTGAAAGTTAGCAGAATATGTTGTATCATCCATTTTTATTATTTTAATAGTTATAAGACTTTTAGAGAGTCATATAACTTCAAACCTTGGGTTTCGATCAACATTTAACATGCATTACATCAAAATATTCTAGAAGATAACATTGAATAAATCGAGTTTCGTGGAGCATTCTGTAACTTAAATATATAGCTGAGATACAAATATTCTTTAAAAAATTAAAAAATCAGATCATCGATTAAAATCTTATATTTCGGATATGGCCTAGACATTTAAAGAAAAAACTCTTTAAAATCACTTCAAGAGTGTTACATGATAATGCTCGTTAAATAGGTCTTTAAATCTCAAAGCGGGTTCTTCGTCGTAGATTATACTCGTGACATTTCCTAACGCTTCAACTCAAATTGTGTGTAACTTTTCAACGGTACCCAACGCTTCACCCTCGTTTCGCGCGCCGGATAGATCCATCTTCATCGATCTACAAAGAATTCCGTCGAGAAATCAAATGCATGAAGTGCAAGGGGCGTGTTCATCAATACTGTAGAAACGGGATAAGAAAGCGTCTAAAAGAGAGAAAGAGAGAAAGATTTTTCGAAGGGAGAGAAAGAGAGAGATACGACTTATGCGGCTTACCGGAAGCGAACACCCTCTAAGGTCTGTTAGTAAAACTTGGTCGGTGGTCCACCAACAAGATAAATTGAGAAGTAATTACCATCAATGTGTCTGTATATCTACCCCAAAATGTCTTGGCTGCGACAACAGAATTCCTCGCCCTTCCCTTGCTTTTTTTTTATGGGAGGCAGGGCTTTGGCGATGAGTTTTACTGAGTTCTAACGGAGTTTAAAAGACGCAGATGTTTTCGGACTTCCTACGGTGATCCCACCACTAATGATCTTATAAAATTGCACTTATGGGCCAAAAAATAGAGCGAGAAAAAAAATGAGGAAGCTATAATCGGTTTTCTCGCAATGTATGATATTCCTCCCGCGGTTCTTTCGTCGAATTTTTCTATTTTTTTTATTGATATTAAACAAGACAATTAAACTTTTGGTATATCTTTGACTCGGTATATCTACTACAAATGTTTAATTTTATAGTTCTTACGGAAAATTCCCTCGACGTTATTTTAAGAAACGAGCTGCACATGGCTCTAGAAAAATATCATGAGATAGTTCCAGTAATTAGATAATATATAATGTGACGAAAATGTGCGGTTCGGTTGCGTTTCATATTTGTTAGGTTTTAGCAACCACTGAGTCATTTTTGTCCTTTGAATCTATGCCGCCTATTGACATTTAGCGGAACGTACGTTTCCTTTGGAAGTACTGAATGTATTTTTAGGACGAGGAGATACCTGAAATCTATTCTTTCATATATTTAGAGCAAATGGTGTAACCGAACGATGATTCAACACAATCGCGTAATGGTTTTCCTTTCTACGTTACATTTTATTAAATTATTCCAAAAAATCGAGGCAAACTTCAAATCCTCTCATTGCTTTAACGTCACGTACGTGAGATTCAATCATTTAACCGATATTTTTGTATGTCAACCTGAGTTTCCTACACTGTTAAATCCGTAGTGTCAAATTATACTCAATTTAAGTTATTTTTAACCATTCCTATAAGTCGTCACTGCTTCTACTTAATATGTCGTTAATATGTCGTTAATATGTCGTTAATTTAACTAATGTAATAGAGTTAAATAATTTAACTTAAGAAATGTATTAAATTTGATTAAAATTTAGTTTATTTTTTATTATGTGCACGTTAATGTAACCTTTGTTTTAGTAAAAAATGACTTAATATTATTTTAAATAGGTTGATTAGATGTGGTTGTTTTTTTAAACACATGTTTTGTGTTAAAATAGTAAATTTTGACACATATAATAGTTAAAAATAACTAAATATTATTTAACTCAAGAAATTAGTTTAAATTTGACCCTCCAATATTTAACAGTGTATCTGTATATTTCTATTCTTTAGATAGAACATCGTTCGATTGCGCGATATATTGCTTTCATTGCTAATCGTCTTCATCACTTGTTACGAGAAACTGTCATTAATGATAGACTATATTAATCGGCTATGTAATAGACGAGAAAATAAAGTTTCCCTCGACTTATTATACATAGAAAAATTGCCGAAAACAGGTTACACGAAATGCACTGAGAAAAAATATTTAAACATTTATTTGTGGAATATAAAGTTCATTTTTATAAAATAAATGAAGTTTATTTTATAAAATTTTTATGAAATAAGATAGATTTTTGCGAAATAATATTTATTTCTATAAAAAATATAGTTTATATTGAGCTAATAAATTTTCAAGTATTTTTTCTTAATGTGAGTTTTATTGAGTACACAAAAATAACAATAAAAACGGAAAACAAAACAAATAATAATAAACAGAGGAAAACGTTTTAATAGATTTTCACTGTATGAGTTTTGTATAATCCCTATTTATTAACGTATCGCTCTTCCGGGGAAAATCAGCGCTGTACCAAGAAAATGCGTCGCTGCGCGATTGTACTTGTGAATACTTCGGCAACGTTTATCTCGCCGCGCTCGGCTGCTTCGTGACATGTAAATTGAGAAATTTCGAGAAAAGTGAAAGCGAAGATCTGTTTGATACCGTTACGAAGTACTTTCGCGCGCGCGCTTGTGAGCAGATGCAAATAGTCGAGCGCATTCATCTGTCATGGGGACCGACGGCCACGGGGAAATATCGCAAATAACGGGTTGCGGCCGTCCACCGGCCACCATAGAAATGTGGGTTATGCAGCCAAAAGAGCAAAAATTTGTATACATGGAAAAGAGGGAGCGACGCGGTGAATTGAACGGCGGGGGTGCTTTCCTATAGATGACAAGACGCTTTAATCCGGCCCAGAACGGACGACTAAATTTGGCGTGATCGCGGGACACCGGCATAGGTAACAGCGTCGTATCAGGGATAACTGTTCCTTCGCGTTGACGATCTTCGCTTTCCTCCCCATATTTTCATTGATCCTTTCTTAAAATTTGGTATTTTACCTGAAAAGAAGCTACATCGCGAAAAAAAAATTGCTATTGTATCAAAGGAAATTTGATACATACTTGGATACATATATCTCGATCTATATTTGAAGCGAAGTGATGAATTGCATCAAGGATCAATTGCGTTAATGATCAAGGATTGTTAAATGGAACTATCGGCAACTTTAAAAATGTCGCAGTGTTACAGAAAAATGTTGTAGAAAAAATTCGTCACGCATGTGGAATTCGTTCCACTAGCTTACAGGATCATTAATAACTAGAACTTAAAGGGTCAGGTTTGAACATTTTAAGTATAAACTTCAAAAGAACCAAGGTCAACATGCAAATTTATTTTTTGCTCTTTTACCCTTTATCCTTGTAAATGTGAACTCATCGTCACGTTTGATGTAAAATTTGAAACAATGACTTTAGAGACTGTAGATACTAAAGAAAGAATCCAGTTCACACAGAGGATTCTTACGAATGTAAGTGGTGATAGAAAGTATAGCATAGGAAAACAGGTCTTATAAGTATTTCTCCTGTATGAAATTCTTGAACTTCATCAATTATCGGAAGTTATGCTACGAATGACGTACGAAAGGCTTGTCTCAGGTATACAATACAAATGTTGTATAATCCTTTCTCGTGTTACAGTTTGAATGGAAAAAGCCATTTTGAATGAAGGTTATAGTAATACTGAGAAAAAAGTTAGTAATATAATATATAAATAAATATATAAGATTTTTAATAATATATATAAAACTAATACATACATATATAGTGAATAACAAATGTTTTACCGTCCGAGTGTCAAGAAGCTGATTTTATCGTTTTTCCCGATTGCGGTTGCCGTAGAATTCAGCACTTAACAAAAATTTAATGATTATTGTTGATAACTGGTATGTTCTCTTGATAAGATCCTTGATAAATTCATAAGAAAAAATATACAAATTACGAGCAATAATCATTACGCGTTGACGCGGACTTTGTTGAATACAGCCAATAATTTTGACGTTGTTATACAATTGATACTTAAACCGACTTTATTATTAATTGTGTGGAATTTTTTATTAAAAGTATAGTTTTTTGCATTAACTTTTTTCGCAATACGTAATATTCTTCATTACGTATTCTTGCGAGCCTTCTCAGCGCGAAATATTGATTCTGTATCTTGCTCAGACAAAAAATTAACGATTATTATACCGTTAAATATTTTAAAAAGCAAGTATTCGTGCGTAAATGTCGGTGATAAACTTTATATATAAAGATGCCTGAAAAGACTGTAAATATAATGATGCGTTAATATTATAAACAAATAATTACATTAATGAAGTATTATAAATGAGAGATGTGTTATCAATACGCCATTTGACATCTTGCTACTTGGAGATTAAAGTCTAGTAATATCAATTGTACAACTTTGATATTATTTTTACGTAACATAATTAATAAGTAATATAATTAAGTAACATAATTTTTAGGTAATATAATAATATAATTATGCGAGTATCTACCATAATATAATATAAATCTACTGAACTATGTAAATATTCATCATGTATATATACGCTTCGGTTTATACTTTTTCTATAGCATCTGGAGGGGAGGGGGATAATATCTTTCCATCTTCTATACTTGATCGCGATAGTGAATAGCAATAGATATAGTGCTATACGTCTAATTTGAAAATACTTAATACCATTAACTAGCCACAAAGATTCTGAAAATCGACAATAGTGGTCAACGATGGACATGCCGATATGTTAGTGGTCAATAGCAAGCGGACCTTCCCTACTACAGCAGCTAAGGAGATCCCTTGCCCTTTTGGAAGGGATGAAACCTATAAAAACGATATTTGCTACAATTCAGCAGTTAGAAGGATTTAGCATTTCTCAAAGTGCGTATGGAAAGAAATACGAAATATTAGTTTCCATCTAAAGCGACAGCACGGTAATGGGAAATCATTTACAGTGTTATGATATTAATGACAACAAGTGTCGTGGATAATTTATATGTGCGCAATGTGTATTTACGAATTTTAAGAAATTTAATGAGTTTTGTGCATCTGCGATGAAGGAACAAATTAAATTTTATGTTTGATCATACGATTAACACGTTAACTGTCACGCTGGTTTCCGTAGGTTGTTCTAAAGCTTAACTAAAGTGTGAGTAACTAAAATTACAATCAATATATATATATATATATATATATATATATATATATATATAT